CCACTCCTCACATCCCACCCAAGACCCAGAGAAACACCTGGCTCCTCACCAGTTTCAAATACAGCTCCACATCCTTTTCCTTCAGGGTGGAGTACACCTTCTCCATTTTGTAGGTAATACCACACTGAGAATCATCCAGGCTCTTAATGAAGTTGTCCCGAATTTCAGCCATTAGATTGGTAAAGCAGAAAAATGTGTCTGCTTCAGCATGTTCTGGGGAAAGAAGAGAAGAAAATGGAACAATAGAGGAAGCCTCACTGAGAGAGGTACAGAGCTGTAAAACTGTCCTTGTTCCATAATCTGGTTGCTGTATTGGATCTGAGGAGTAGATCCTAACAGATCTTGGCTTGATTGGTCTGGGTCAAAACTAGACAACTTTTTTTTTTAGTTTTCTTCCTAAACTAGAAACATCTGCAGAGCCATGGCAGATACTAACCCTGTGTCCAACACAAGGTCTTCGTGACATGAGGTCACAAAACAGTTATCTATGCACAAGAACATAATCTGCCACCAGCACACACCCTCAGAGCTCCTGTGAAGCAGAAGCAACAGGCGAAGTCCTCCCTTTCCATTTTTTCCTTACTATCTATAGAAAGTGCAAGGAAACAAGAGCTTCTAAGGGGATTTTGAGTTTAATAAACAAACAAAAATTGCTCAAAAATCCTCACTTCCCATGTCCTTACCACTCCCAGCTCATTCAGCTCCTACCAATTCCCCAAAACTCCTCATGCCATGCAGAGAAGTGGCAGTACACAGCCACTGCTGAGCAGTCAAAAGGCTTCCTCACCTTTCCATTCGCTGTTAGGGTCTGTAGCAAAGGTGTAGTAAAGAGGCCCTACGATTTCATTCATGCCCTGGACATAGGCTATCCCAGGGTTCAGCTTGGCATAGATGAACAGGATCCTCTCCACCACTTCCCAGTGAGCTTCGCAGCCGTTGGGCAGAACTTCGTACTCGCTCAGAGAGCTGGGGGTGCTCTTAAGAGGGGAGCTCACCTGGAAAACAAGGCTGAATCAGGATAACCAAGTAATAACAGATCCCTTAGCACATGTGCCAAGCTTGCTTTTAACACACACAGGCCCCCCAAAATGGGCTGTTTATACCACATAAACCAATTCAAGCAGCTCTGGGAGCACACAGGCAGAGAAGTCCTGGTGCTGGCTGTCCCTGAAGAACAAAGTCTGTGCAGCAACACACAGTTCCCTCTGAATCATTGCACCACATGATCTCATACAGTAAAAACCACAGCAGTTCCACTTCTTTGTCAGTAGTATGAGGGAAGGGTATTGAGAGTTGTGGGAGAAGCCACCTTCCCCAATAGCACGTGTGTTGTAATACTCATGAAAGGGGAAAGAGACTACACATTTTAACAGATACTCAGCTCTTCTCCTAATTCCAGACTTGAGATCCAGTTCTGGAGGACTATGGAAATTTGTAATAAATTCATAGTAAATAAACCTTTCAGTGTTTTGTTGCCATACAGAAAGGCATACATCAGGCATAAAATGACTTGTGACTCCAAGTTCTCCCAGAAGTCAGGTAAAAACAATCTTTTAAATTAAATACACCTGTAATTCCCTACAGTCTGTCAGGCACTTCAACTGATTCTACCATGATTCTACTGATTCTTCAACTGGTTCTACCAGCCCCCAGAACGCTCAGTATCTGCTAGGGTGTTTCCTTAATTCCACTGCACAAGCAGAAAGAGAAACACAGAACAGCCCAAGAATCACCCTTCCCCTTCCCAATCGGAGACCTTGCCCTGTGACAAGGACAGCCCCAGCCCAGAGCTCACATTTGTCACCCCACTGCGGTTTCGTGCCACCGTCTGCGACTTGAGCGTGGTCTGCTCCACGCGCCTGCGCAGGGTCTCAAACTCGTTCTGGGGGTCCAGGATTAACAGGCAGGGATAATCCGTGGGGCGCTGGAAAAACGCCATGTCAGGGTACAGCCTCCTAGGAGGGACACAAGGAAATCAGGGACAAGAAGGAAGTACGTGCCCCACGATGAGTGGGAGGCTCGGTTTAATATTAAACTTTGTTTTCAAAGTACAATTTGTTGGCCAAACCGCTCGGGTTCAGAAATCTCAGTGGCTGTGCCTCACACACCTGACATCTTTGTCTATCTGGAGGAGCACTTCGTTATCCTTGAAGTAAGTGTTCCATCGACTGTCTGGATTTGGATTGAGAGGCTAAAGAGAGAAACAACAGAAAAAGCATGTTTCACACATATCAAAATCCTCAGTAAACATACAGTGATTTAACATTTCTGCTGTCACTCTGCCATCAGCACAATCTGAGCACATCAGGGTCATTTTCTTGTCTCACATTTTTGATCCTTTTCACTCATCTCTTCAAGAGTTTGTTCCCAAATCAGTTTTTTTTTCCTCCTCTGTTAACAAGATTCCCAACTGCAGCTCCAAACCTGTACCATGGAGATGGTATTTACACTTGGGGTAAAAGCTATCCACCCACCCAGTACTCTGATGCTGTGGTTCTTCTCTCCACATTAAGATCCACACAAAGTTAACAACTAACCAAGGAAAAAACAAGCTACATTCCAAGGGATTCAAAGATCACTGTGACCTGCCTGTGTGGTTTTACAGACATGCCAGTTTTACACCACCAAGGCTCCAGAGATCACAGTGGGGCAGGTGACTGCAGGGGAGTGAACGCTCAGAACGGTCATGGGAGCAGCTGTATCATTTTACAGTCTCTTCTGATCAGTTACTTCACTCACTCCTCCCACACACACACTCCTAACAGCACTTTCAGAGAAGGAGAAAGCCAAGGCATGCAGGAAATAGCCTGTTAAAAAAAAAAAACAACCCGGCAGCATTACCAGAAATAATCAACTCTCCTGCCTTCCACACCACAGCCCAGCCTGACTCTCCTGTTTCTTTTCTATCCTCTGCTCCGAATCCACTCATGGACCCAAATTCCCAAGGGAGCATCTCATGGCTCCAGGAACCTCTTGTGAGCCTCTCCCTTTCCCTAGGAGACCCACACCCTGGGCAGGCAGCCCCAAAGGGCAGGAGGGAAGTGCACAGCTGGAAACAGCTCTCTACAGAGCTATTGGTGCTTTGCCAGTAATTCACACTCAAGGCTAGCACAACAAAAGTGCCAGGCTGGCACCTGGGAAGCATCCCTCCCCCTGGCAGGGCAGAACAGTTGGGAACAGAGCCAGGAGCAGCCCAGGGGGCCAGAAACTCCCCAAGGAATTTTCTGCAGCACAAAGGCTTAACAACACTTACGTGATCTTCTAAGGTCACATCTTCCCTGGAAACACCCAGGTTGGCCTTGGCAATCCCAGGCTGGATAATCATTTCTTTTAGGAACTGGGAATACAGATCCCTTAAAGAAGAAAAGAGGAATTTGCAATGAGGAAGGTAAGGTCAAGGTGAGCACACAGACAGAGCTCAAACAGATGTCTCTGTCCCACCCTGCTCAGCCAGAAGGCATCTGATTTCCTCTTCAGTGTAATTGAAGGGGTCAGTCCACCAGGCAGCAGAGAGAACAGCACATTACACAAAAGAACAATGTGTTTCATAAAAGTACTTAATTATTTAAAGACTATTCTTCTTCTCTGCAGATATCTTTGAAAATAAATGGACAAGTACCAACAGCCTCACCTCTGTTTCTTCAGCAAAGAGCTCCATAAGGCTTTCTCTAAAGGGAGGTAGTTCAGGAGTATCTGCACAGGAAACAGGTGAACAGGAATTAGTATTCAATGAGCTCTTACACCTGCAAGATGAGCAAAGCAAACACAGTGGCTCGAACTGGCTCTTGGAAAATATTGGGAGTTCTCTCAAAAGCCAAGTACTTTGCTAAGCAACAGTCAGGAATATTTCAGGGACTGGCTTTCCACACAGAACTATTTGTAGGACTGATCAATAGCTAACCTGACCAAAATGCACTGCTTGCTTAAAACTGAGGCTGTTCACATGCAAAGTGCTGATCTCCACAAATTACTGCTGACTTCTAGTGGCTTTTAAGCTCTGGATTTTTTGTTTGTTTACAACTTTAACCGCCAAAAAAGCACTATGTGTACTTAATCAACCCAAAGCATCACTCTCAAGAAAGAAAAGCGCCCCAAGCAAAACCCACCTTCCAGCACAGGCAGCGCAGCCCACCATCAAAGGGAATTCCTGTGGAACACCAGGCAGAGAAATAACCACGTTAGCCCATCTCTCACCCCCACGGCTTGCTGATGTCACCTCACAAACAGGCCTGGCAACGCTTTTCCTCCCCGAGGGGCACGAAGCCTCCCCGGGCCCTGCTGGGGTCACCCACGGGGTCATCTCCCGGGACAGCCCGAGCAGGCGGCACCAGCGCGGGCACCGCCGTGCCCGGACCCCCTCCCCAGCCTGGGCCGCTCCCCCCGCACTCACCGCTGAAGCACAGCTCGCGGAGCTTGGCCAGAGCCACCGTGGGTTCGCCGAGCACCTCCTGGAAATCCGCGATCCTGAGGGGAGCGAAGCCGCGGGCGTCATCAGGGTTGGTACAGGCAGCCCGAGACCCCCCCAGAGCCCCCAACCCCTCAGAGCCCCCGATTCTCGAGAGCCCGCACCCCGCGCAGCGCAGCCCCGGCAGGGTGGGGAGGGGAAAGACCCCGGTCCCTACACAGCCCCCGACACCGACCTGCTCTGGTGCAGCCGCGACATGGCGGCCCCGGCGCCCCTTCCCCGCGCGCCGCATAAACGCTCCGGCTGGAAACGCTGCCCGGGGAGGGGGATGCGGGATGGGCCCCGCCCCGCGGGGGCGTGGCGAACCCGCCCGCGCCACACGGACCCTTCCCTGCGCTAAGCCCCGCCCCCGCGCGCCCCAGGGCGCCTTTCCTGAGCGCTTGGCCCCGCCCCCTTCGCGTCAAAGCTCCGCCCGGCTCCGCCCCGCCCATCGCGCCAAGCCCCGCCCCTGCCCGTCGCATTCGCCGTTCCTAAGCCCCGCCCCCTGCCCGGCTCGGGGCGCTCCCGGAGCCCCGCGGGCCCGGTCCCTGCCCTGTCCCGGCTCCCCGCGACCCCCGGCCTGCGGGACACGGCGTGGGTCCCTCCCCAGGCACCAAGCGCCAGGAGAGACCCCGCGGGCTGGAGCAGCCGGTCCCCCAAGCACTGAGGAGACCCGCGGGGTGGTCGCGCTGTCCCGGGCACGCTCCAGCCCATGCCAATGGCAACCGTGAGCGGGGCCCGCGGGAATGGCCCCGCTCTGTGAGGAGGCGCGGCTGGACCCTGGCTCTGCGGCTGCCGGGACGCCGCGGCCAAGCTCTGCCCCGCGCGGTGACGTCAGTGCCTCCGCCGCGTGGCGTCACGACCCTGTGACGTCACTGAACGTCCCCGTCCCCAGCGGGTCCCCGCTGACCGAGCGTTCCGGCCGGGCCGGTGTTTCCGGGGAAGGACTCGCTGGCGCTTCCGGCGCGGGCGGAGGAAGTGACGGCCGGTTTGTTGACAGCCGAGGCTGCGGCGGGGGGAGCGGGCCCGAGCAGGACGCGGACCCCGGCCCGCCCCGGGGAGCCGGGACCAGCCGGGACCAGTCCCCCATGGCGCCAGGTGAGTACCGGTGCCCCCCTCCCCAGCCCGACCCGGGGCAACAGGCCTGCCCGCCCGGGCGGGGGGAGGAACCGCCGCCCCCGGCAGTGCCGGACGGTGCCCCCGGCGCAGTCCCCATCGCCTCCCCGGGACTGCCGGGCCCCGCCGGGCAGGGCTCCGGCCCGCGGCAGCAGCTCCGGCGCTGCCCGGCGAGGTGACCTCTGAGTGCCTTGGGGACGAGGGAGGGCTCGCGTTCGGGGCCAGCGCTGCCCGCGGGCTTGGTCGAGACCATCGCGGGCTGATGGAGCCCCAGCGCCCTGAGAGCCGTGACCAGGGACTCCAGGTAGGCTTCTTGGGCAGGTGACCTATGGAGTGAAAATCCGTGATGTAATTTAATTCAGTGAGCTGAAGGAGCATCTTTAGTGCGGGCAGGTAAAGATCAACGCGTTCCCCGGCGAGTGCGAGCTGTCTCATGTACAGTGTCAGTCTGGCTGACAAGTTCGGGAGTTGCAGGCATTGCCGGGGCAGAGGATAGTTCCATCTCCTCCTACTTCACTTTCCCTAGTGTAGGAAGGGATGGTGTTTCCCCACAGAGGCAGCGATGACCCATCAATTAATAAAATCACAGTGACTTGCAGCTGCAGGACGCCAGCTAAAGTGACAGTGCAGTTTCTCTTCAGAGCATAACCTGTGCCAAACTCTGCATTTACATTACATTTGTAATTCTGAAGTCGCTGCAATCAGCTCATGTCAGTGCATATTGTTTGCCCTCTCCTTGGATGAGTCCCTGATGCTGGAACAGTCAGCTTTGCCAATCATTTTTGTAGCAACAGCGTAAACGTTGTGTGGTTGGCGTGGAGCCACGGTGAGTCAGGCTTGGCTTGCCTCCGGGCACTGCCTGGAGAGAGGCTGGGAGAGATGATGGGTCTGAAGTCCAAGGGAGAGGATATTGGCACTGGCAGCCCCAGGAGAGGTCCCCAGCCCCACGTGCCAGTGCAGCCTGGAGTGCTGTAGTAGTGCAGATGCAGCCTGGAAATGAGCAGTGTTTGCAAAGAGGCAGGTGGGTCCTGGATGCTGGGGAGGGGGCGAGTAGAGCTGCCTGTACTGCACCTGGTTTTGGGTCTGTGCATGGCACGAGGGTGCTGTTCCTGCACAGACAGGCTGTGTTCCCATGGAAAGGGCTTTTGTGTGCCTGATCCCGAGGCTCTGAGGAACTCAGTTCCTTGGTGCACTAAGATGGAAGCAAACCTGTCAGAGAAATAAATTGGAAAAAATACTGGCAGCTGAAGTTCTGGTCAATCTCAGTTCTTGCTCTTGAATTTTCAACATCTTTCATGCATCTGTCTTTACCAAAACTCACACGGCACCAGGCAGCTCATTGCTGGAAAAGCACTGGTGGCAGTCACTAGGCAGCTTCATCCTGTGTGAAGCTTCCTGAGGACAACAATTAGGCAAATGTTAATGATTTTCCAGCCTCTCCAGTTCTTTTCTTTTTCTCACCCATCGAGGTTATGACTAGAGACAGTATTGATCAGAGCAGCTATTGGCACTTCTACTTGCCTCTCTGCTGCTGAGGTGTCATGTGTTCAGTCTAAGGAGGGAGAGGCCAGCTTGTGTTGTCTCCTGGAGAAAAGGTCACAGCAGCTGCTCAGATATCTGTAATAAATCAGAAGGATGAAAGCTTTTCTTTGGTCTTACTTCAGTGGGACAGTGTAACCATTCTTGGTATTAAACTTCTGCATGGGATTGTGTTGGTGGATCACGGGGAGCTCAGAAGTTAAAGGGCAGCTGATTTCTTCAGGGCTGAGATCAGCCAGCTGCATTGTGCTGGTCTCAGCAGAGAGGGAACAGAGGCTTGTCAGAGCCACAGGAAGGCAGTCCTTGCCCTCTGGTGCTCGGAGCTGCTTGGACAAGTCCCAAGCACTGGCCGTTTCCAGCTGCACGTGACAATAGATTGTCAATGGGAATTTGTTTTCGAGTTCTCTGGCTGTCAGTAGTAAACAGTGGAAGAACACTGGCTGCAGGGACCTCCTGTCTGATGGCACAGGGGAACTGGTAGGGACAGCAGAACACGCTTCCCAGCTGGCTCAGATCTTCCTGTTGATCTTGCCTTTCTGGAAAGATTCTCTCCACCAAGCTTCAGGCAAAATCTGCAAGAGGGACTTGTTCTGGAGGTGAGGCCGATTCATCTCCAAAGCAGACACAGGACAGCTTCCTCCCACCTGCATTCCCTTTGCCAGGACCTCCCAGCCAGGGAGACAATACTGTGCACTCAGTGGCACATTTCAGCCTTGACTTCTCACCTTGTGGATTCTGGAGCTCCTCCTTTATCAAAGTTGAAAACTCTCTATTTTCATTGATTGGACCTCATGCACCTCAATGGAGCTATTGTGGCACTATTGAGAAGTCTCAGTTTTATGTTCTTGTGACCCCCTGTCAGCACTCAGTGACCAAAATAGCAAGTTCCATCCTTAACACCATGATTGGAGAGAGTTTAAAGTATAATTTGTATGACTGCTGAAGTTTTGGGGTTTTTTGCCTCAGCATTACCTTTTAGAATGATTAGAGTGAATAAGCTGAGGAATGAGAGTTAAACTCTTCTGTCTTGTACTGATACCATAGGAATGAAGGAAAGAGAGCAGCAGAGGCTTTAGAGAAGCAGAGAGCTGGTGACACACAAGTGTCCTGCTATTTGCAGCTGCAGGATAAAGATCAGAAACAGAATATGGTTCAGGACATTTTGCAACAACTTCTCCAGCAATGGCTGCTCAGCTGTGGTGCAAAGAATAACAACTACCTCCACAGCATCAGTGTCCTCAGGGCCAGCAGGGACAGACTTTTGATAAGACATATCAAAAATAAATATTTCAACACAATTTTTTGTGTCTGTGGAAATATTTAGAAAAGTTTAGGTTTGCTTGTAATGTGATTTGACCCTTTGACAGTGAAATGTCACTACTGGTCTTCAAGCTAGCTTCTCTGATAAGCCCCTTGGGGCCCTACTGAGCAAGTCTTGATACCAGAGCAATCAGGTCATTTCAAATCAGAAAAAAGGGATAGCTTCCCCCTCTTGTCTGCCTCACCCATCCTTTATCCTGTTCTAAAAATGAAGAAGGGCAAAAGCACTTTGCCTTTTTCCAGTTTAGTCAGTCTTTGTGACAGATTTGGGGTGGTGAAGGTGAGCTGGATGTAGAGGTGTCCAGCACAATCACAGTCCTTGTCTTTACACTGCACTGGGGGATCCCAGACCAGTCTGTGTGTTTCCCTCTGGCTTCTGATCCACTTCACGCTCTAGTTCAAGGACTTGCATGAAGCTTCTGGCTTGGCACTACAGAGAAACACTGAGCTTGAAAATGAAACTTGACTTGGAATGTTGGCAAAGAGAATGACAGGCAGGAGATACAGGGCCACAGATCCCACCAGTGCCTTAGAAAGGACTATGCTGACAGTAAATGTTCTGCTGGCTTATCCAACCCACCCTGAAGGAAACCAAGCAACGTGGCTTCTACCACTTCCCTTTCTGAGGGCCTTTGTCAGCCAGATAACTCTGCAATGAGGAAACATTTTGCTGTGTAGTCTCATTTCCAAACACATCACACTAATTCATTCTCACAGTATCCCTTTGGAGTGGGAATACCAAGGAATTAAGGGCACACTGCCAGAGGGGCCAAACTGCTGCAGGTCCTTTTGAGGTCAGCAAGTGATGAGCTGTAAATACAACATCCTGCTGGTGTGACAGCTTTGTGGGACACTTGCAGTTGTGCCTTTCTCAATGCATCTTTTTTCCCTTCTCTGCTTACAGCTATCCTGATGGCCCCATAAATTCATCCCAGGACTTCATTTGAGGGAAGGATCTCCTGCATCAAACGCTTCCTTCTGCTCTTCCCCTTCCCATAAATTCCCTCAAGATGGCATCTGACAGTCCGGAGTCGCTGATGACCTTGTGCACTGATTACTGCCTTCGCAACCTGGAGGGGACTCTCTGCTACCTCCTGGACAACGAAACGCTCCGGCTCCACCCCGACATCTTCCTGCCAAGCGAGATCTGTGACAAGCTTGTCAACGAGTACGTTCCAGGCCTGGTTTGGGAAGGAGCTGGGAGCTCAGAGAAGGGGGAGTACAGTTCTCCAACTGATCATATTGGCAAATAAGAGTTTGCACGAACTTCAGAAGGAAGTGTTCCCTTTTGTACTGCTGTCATTCTAGTTTCTGTAGTAGTTACCCTTTCCAAGTTAGTCAGAGCTCAACGAGATGCTGTAAAAATGGAAATGAAAAGAGTAAACCCAGAGTGAAACAGTCACTGCTTCTTCCTAGAATGTCAGTGAGCAACAAAGAAGCCTTCCCATTTCCTGTCACTGAAGCATTACAACACTCTGTCCAAGCAGAGAAATAAGAGTCCAAAGTGCTAACAGATGTTACATTTTAAGGCTGCTGCTCCCATAGTTTTATAAAGCAACTTGTTTCCAGGGATTTATGTAATTTGGCTGTCACAGTCTCTCTTGGCTGAACTTGTGCTCACAATGTCTGGCAGAGAATTCTGGCCAGCTAATTTTCTGAAAAATGGCGGGGCAAAACAATCTAATTATTAAGTTTAAACAGCTAGGGAAAAAATTCCTGGAGTCTGTGCTTGCCAGAATCCAGTTTGCTCACACACACTGAGTCCTGCACAAACCTTTGCCCAAGATTTTCCTAGGGATCTGTTGGTTCTGTGCCAGAAGAGGTGGTGAGCTCCTTTGCCCCAAAGGCTGGTCTGGGTGATACTGGGAGGGGGTGGGTTGGTGTGTGCTCACAACTCTGTCACGCTTCCTTGTCAGCAGTGCAGGTGCCAGAGCTGTGGCTGAGCCTGTGCTGTGCTAACACCATTGCCCCACACAGGTACGTGGAACTGGTGAAGACAGACAGCATCTTTGAACCCCATGAAAGCTTCTTCACCCTCTTCTCAGACCCACGGAGCACCAGGCTAGCTCGGATCCACCTGCGGGAACACATTGTGCAGGACCAGGACCTGGAGGCCATCAGGAAGCAGGTGGGGTTGCACTGACAGCTGCCACATTGTGTAGCAGCATTGCTGCACGGGCACCAGCTGGAATCCCAGACACCCAGAGATTCCCAAGGCTCCATCCTTTGTTGTCCAAGCCTTCTTTGGACTAACCTCAGCTTCTCCCTTCTCAGCTCCCAAAGCCACTGTTGGGAATGGCATAGGACACTGGTCAAGTTGGGTGATACATGGTTTCAGGCTGTCCCAGTGGGAGGTGTGGGGCAAACAGGGTGGGCACTTTACCTGTCTTTAACCTTGATTTCCCTTTTTTTCAGGATCTTATTGAGCTCTACCTGACTAACTGTGAGAAGCTGACAGCCAAGAGCCTGCAAACCTTGGTGAGCTTCAGCCACACACTGATCTCCCTGAGCCTCTTTGGCTGCAGCAATATCTTCTACGAGGAGGAGAACCCCGGGGGCTGTGAGGACGACTGCCTGGTGAACCCCACTCGCCAGGTCTTGGTCAAGGACTTCACTTTTGAAGGCTTCAGCCGCCTGCGCATCCTGAACCTGGGCCGCCTGATCGAGGGGGTAAACGTGGAGACACTGCTGCGGCCCCTGGCCTCCCTGGCAGCTCTGGACCTTTCTGGGATCCAGCTGAATGATGTGGGATTCCTGACCCAGTGGAAGGACAGTCTGGTTTCCTTAGTGCTTTACAACATGGACCTTTCAGAGGAGCACATCCAAGTGATTGCACAGCTTCGCAAGCTCAGGTCAGCAGATCTGTTCTTCCTTCTTTATCCTTCTGTAGCTGATAGGGAAAGGTCTTTCAGGAATGGTCTTCTTGCCTGCTCTCAGAGAGGCACTCACTGCTGGGTTCAGCTTATAAGCCTTCCTGTGAACAGGCTCACTCATTGTATATATCTACTCATCACCATACACATCTGACACGTCTAAAGCCAGCCTGAATTTTGCTTGTAAGAAGACACCACTTAGCAGAAACTTCCCATTGGAAAAACCAAAAAACAACACGTATGTCACCCCATCACCCCCACTTGGTGTGCAACAGGTAGGAGACACTTTTGTGAGTGGGATGTTTGCTCCAGTCTTCGGTACGAGCCAGCAAAGTCTCTCTGTCCTGTAAGGAACTCCACCTGCACACAGTGCTGGTCAGTTTGTCCCACCACTCCCTTAGCAGCAAGATTTCCTCAAAGCATAAGCATTTAGATACCTGAAAGAAATCAGGATAATGTGATAGCCTGGGGTGGAAAAATTATAAGATGGGGGAAGCAGACAAAAACCTGTGCAGCTTAATTTGTGGGATGAGGCAAGATATGTTTCTGGGAATGCACAGATCTTCTGGTGCATCTTAATCTCTGGGTAGAAATGCTCAGGTGGCTGCTGTGATGGAGTTTGGAAAAGGCAGTTTCTGAGCCTGGAGCAATTTCCTTTGTGATGTGTGGCTAGATGATTCACTGTGGTCCATTCCAAGTAGCCCTCTACCAGATGCTTGTGTGCTTTGGTTAGACACAGGACCAGCTGCTGCTGCCAGAACCTACAGAACCACATTCCTGTATCTTGGGAAGGAACTAATGATAAATAATAATCACACTTGGCTCTGGTAGGGAGGCAGAAGCCCCAGCTAATGCTTTCCAGGCTGTGAGATGCTCTCTATCCCTTGCAGGCACCTGGATATCTCGCGAGACCATCTGTCCAGTTATTACAAGTTCAAGCTGACCCGGCGGGTTCTAAACTTGTTTGTGGAAAACCTGGTGAACCTCACTTCGCTCGACATCTCAGGGCACACCATGCTGGAGAACTGCACTATCCCCAGCATGGAGGAGAAGATGGGCCAGACAAGGTAAGGGAACAGCAGTTACTGAGGTCTGCTTGGGTGGATAGATCAGTCAAAGGTGAATTAAGAACAGTTCCCTCTTCTGAGTTCCCAAATTATGTACGTCTAATCAGTACTAAAAAGCAGGATACAACTCTTGCCAGGTTGCCCTGACAGTAGAGACTGGTGTGAGAATCAGCTGTGATTGCTGTATGCAACACATGTAAGGACTTGTAAGAGTAATAAAGAATTCATCCCATCTGCCTGCCATGCATATCTGAAGTATTTCAGTTCTTTTCCACACACACATTCTCCCAGGGAATCTTCTTCTGGATTTTCTCCTGAAAGGACTCCAAAGCCCTTTACACATTTCCTACACAAAATACTCTTACCCTTGTGGAAATCCAGGCTCTTCTGACAGAACATTTATACACTGAGTCAATACATCAGCACTCATAGGAGGGCTGTGTGTTTTAGGATCTTGGAATCTAAAGGCCTGTTTCAGATTTGACCTGAATACTGGGCAGATCAACCCTTGGAAATCCTGGTGCCCCTTAGCAGAGGCATACCTAGAGGTCTGGTTTTCCACATCAGCCAATCCTATTAAGCACTTCCTGAACAGAATCAAAAAAGTGAGACAGTACTGGCTCCTTTTCACCAGAGCTGGTGAAAATGCACTGGCTCTTGGTCAATAAGGAACATGGCAGCCAAAACAGTGTTCATGCATGCCCACAGAAGCAGACATAGCATGTCTATCATATTACAAATACATTGGATGAGTGAAACCCACAGCCCTTTATGAGGAAATTTTCATCCCAGCTAGTGAATTTCCAGTACAGATTTTACCTGGGAAAGCTTCATCCTGTCTGCAGTAATTCTTACTGCTGGTTCCATTCAGCATGTTCACCTTTCACTCAGGATGACTTGGGATGAATATTTAGAGTTATGTTCATAAGCAGCTGCTTGGTATAAAGTGAAGTGTAGCTTTTACCACTCTGGGTATGAAGCAGTACAGTCAGAGTGAATGGAGGGCAGCCATCTCTGTGGCAGGAGACACCTGAAGAAACATGGTACCAACATGAGCAATCTCTTGTGTTTTCACCCCAGCATTGAGCCAGCAAAGAGCAGCATTGCTCCGTTCCGGGGTCTGAAACGACCACTGCAGTTCTTGGGCCTTTTTGAAACATCCCTCTGCCGCCTGACCCATATCCCAGCCTACAAGGTAAGGAGGCTGCAGGAATATTGGCAGTAGGAACTTGTTAGAAGTTGAAAGAACATGAGAACCCTGACTGCCACTAGAGTGGAGTTCTTTGGGTCTTGGGTATGGCAACTGAGCTGTGACCTTTCAATAACTACTTCATAATGCAAGAAAACTGGCAGAAAGCAAGACCTGTACCCCACATAGTTTTTATAAGGATTGAAAAACATTGGAGAAAAGCGCGGAGAAATCATTCTTCCTGGAGGATGTCTGTGACTACAGAATAGGATTTAAGACAATAGGAGTCCAACTTTTGAATAGCATCCTCCTGCCCCAAAGGTGCCCTTTCTCATCCCTCTGACTGAAAAGTGGCTCAACCTCTGTCTCATCCTGGGCTGAATCTACTCTCAGGGCAGAGGGAAGGTATACCCTTTGACCTTTCAGAGTTTCCTTCTCATGTTGGTTTTCCTCCTTCATAATTTCTCCCCTGACTCTTTCTGCTCTTCCACGCCAGGTGAGTGGAGACAAGAACGAAGAGCAAGTCCTGAATGCCATCGAGGCTTACACCGAGCACCGGCCGGAAATCACTTCCCGGGCCATCAACCTGCTTTTCGACATTGCCCGCATCGAGCGCTGCAGCCAGCTGCTGAGAGCCCTCCAGGTAAGCCTTGGCCTCACCCTAACAAGGGGAATTTTGCACTCCCAGTCTTTTTTTCCACCCTGGGACACTACATCAGGCCATTCCAGAGAATGTTCCAGTAGCACAGTGGAACTGGGTACCTTCATTTCGTTCCTGCAACGCCTGGGCCACACTTTCCTTGTGGGCTTTAACAGTCACTCCAAGAACTAGCAGCAAGTCTGTGGCACTGAAGCTTCGTGTTGCTTCTCTGCAGTTGGTGATCACAGCCCTCAAGTGCCACAAGGATGACAAAAACATCCAGGTGACGGGCAGCGCCGCGCTGTTCTACCTGACCAACTCCGAGTACCGCATGGAGCAGAGCGTGAAGCTGCGGCGCCAGGTCATCCAGGTGGTGCTGAATGGCATGGAGTCCTACCAGGAGGTCACGGTAAGAGCAGCCCAGGCACCTTTGGTTCCTACAGTCCTCTTTCCCTGTATCAATTCTTTAGCCTGGTGTCAGCATTTGGGTTTCCTCTGCCTGCAGGGAGTTAAACAAGGCAGAGAAGTTACTGCCTGCCCAGGTCTGCTCCTGGTCTCCACTCAGCAATGGGGATTACATGCAGGGTGCTCCTTTTTATCCATGAGCAGTGGTCAAAGCATGTGTGTGACACAGATACCCAGCACTGACTGTGGGGTGAAATTGTTGTGGGTAGAGGGGATGTTAAATCAATAGAAAGAAGCATCTCAAATATCTGTACTAGAAGTCAGCTGTGTAGAGAGCCAATAGGCAGTAAAGAACTGACTTGGAAAGCAATGGGCCCTGGATAATTGGGTGGCCTTGTGAGACTGGAGTGACAGTCACGGAGCATGGCTAAGGCACAGCATGAGATCCGAGGGTAACAGAAATCTCAGTAGGTGTAGTCAGGCAAGAAGATGTTTTCAGTACCAAGGAAACATGAGATGGTGGGGTCTGTGCTTTTGTAGCCTCTTGGCCCAGTGTTTGCTTCCTTTTGACCCAGGTCCAGCGGAACTGCTGCCTGACCCTGTGTAACTTCAGCATTCCCGAGGAGCTGGAGTTCCAGTACCGCCGAGTGAACGAGCTGCTGCTGAACATCCTCAACCAGAGCCGGCAGGACGAGTCCATCCAGCGCATCGCCGTGCACCTCTGCAATGCCCTGGTCTGCCAGGTGGACAACGACCACAAAGAAGCTGTGGGCAAGATGGGGTTTGTCATGGTTGGTATGGTCCCAAGGTGCTCACTTACCCATAACCCAGGCTAGGACAATTCCCTTACAGCTGTCCATCAAATGCCTCCAGCCCTGATCCAACCTCACAATATCACAGAAGGGAACCAGTGTCCCAGCAATGCTGAGCTCTCCTGGAACCCACCCCTTTACTTGCTTACCAGCACTGGAGGTTATGATCTCAGAGACAGGCTGGTATGAGGGCAGGAAGGCACTGTAACCTAGCACCTGACCTCACCACATCAGGTTATTTCTAGATCTGATACCACCTTGTGAGTTTCCTTCTGCTTCTCCCCAAGTTTGCATCAATTTCCCAACTCAACCCATATCCCTCACCTTTTCCAAGAACTGCAAAGGCTATTGCTGTGGTGCATCCCCAGACCTCGCCATATAGCTCAAAACTGACTCAGCTGCAAACTCAACAGCCCAGGGCTGTGGCATACTTCAGCTCTGTGAACACTTAACAGCTTGGAACATGACCCAGTCCCACTGGTTTAGAGAGATTTATCAAGTAGGTTCTCTGGAAAAGATGAAAATTTGACATAACTACTGTGATACTGCAGGACTGGTTAAGTTTTAGCTCCATGATTTTTGAACTGTTTCTCACTCTTCCCCTTTCTTTGCCCACAGACAATGCTAAAGTTGATTCAGAAGAAGCTGGCTGATAAAACGGTGAGTGTTTCCCAAAAAAACCCATATACATAGAGTATTTTTTCTTCAGTCTGACTTAGGCATGGAAATCAGCCCAGAGTGCCTTCAGCTTCTCCAACAAACACAAGACATCTCAGCTGATGCTGCAGAATTTCTTGTTCCAGGGTGAGGGCAGGGGAATGTGACAGGGAAGCAAAAATATTAAACAAAAAACCCACTTACTGACAAGTTGAAAGTGAACAACAAGGTTTTCTTACCTCTGAAGTCATCTAGGGTGATGCCAGAGAGCAAACAGGTGATTGGTTTGCACCAGGCTCCTGCATTATCAAAGCTCTGATTCTGTCCTTTTCCCTACAGTGTGATCAGGTGATGGAGTTCTCCTGGAGTGCCCTCTGGAACATCACTGATGAGACCCCAGATAACTGTGAGATGTTCCTAAACTACAGTGGCATGAAACTGTTCTTGGAGTGCTTGAAAGTAAGTGTCTGATTGTCTCTGGAGAGATGCTGACAAGAGCAGTGGAGGTGCAGGTGCCTGGGCAGGACCCCTGGCTCTGCTCCTCTCCAAGCATTACTTCCTACACTTCACAAGAAAGAAAAAGTTTGTGTAAGTTCTTCTTTCTCACATCATTCCACCTAGCCAGTAGAACAGAGAAACTTACAGTGAACACGTCTTCCCCTTTGCCCATCTTTGCTCAGCCCCCTCAAGCAGAGCAGCAGTGAACAGTGGGCCTGGTTTTGATCCTCCCTTTTCACACATACCTTTAGCACCATTTGGCACCTGCCAAGGAGCCATTGCTGACTACCCAAAAATACTGAGCTTTCGAGATGTGCTGTACAGCCTTTTCCCAGGGTTGCTTGTTCTCAGCATCACCAGAGTCCTACCTGTGTATAATCCTGTTCCTTGCCTGGCCAGGAGTTCCCAGAGAAACAGGAGCTGCACCGCAACATGCTGGGCCTCCTGGGCAACGTGGCAGAAGTGAAGGAGCTCCGCCCGCAGCTCATGACCTCCCAGTTCATCAGTGTGTTCAGGTGAGTGCCTGGCTGGTGACCAGCTGGCTCTGATCTCTTCTCCTGAATCACCTGGACACTTGTGAATCTTTACTGCATCAGCAGCTCTAAGTGATCTCTTCTCTCTTGGCAGCAACCTGCTGGAGAGCAAAGCTGATGGGATTGAGGTGTCGTATAATGCCTGTGGAGTGCTCTCCCATATCATGTTTGATGGTTTAGAGGCCTGGGGGATCTGTGAGCCTCACAGAGAAGAAGTTGTGAAAAGGATGTGGGCAGCCATCCAGAGCTGGGATATCAACTCCAGGAGAAATATCAATTACAGGTGAGCAGTGGAAAAGATTGGCCCAGTTACAGGGGAGCCAGGATTGTCACAGGAAGGAAACACCAGCAGAGAGAAAGGAAGAGAAAGAGCCTAGCATGGAGGCTCTGTTCAGAGTGAAAGAGAAACATATTCAGGGACATATTCTTTAGTGAGGGTTTTACATCTTCCTTTGAAACATGTTACATAAGATGCTGAAATTAGACACCTTACCTGGCACTTCCTATGGGAGAAGTTTGGCAGCCCAGCAAGAATTTCTCCTGCAAGTTGCTGCTGAAATTGAGTAGTTCAGGAAAACCATGGTCAGTCTGGGACTGCCTAAGCATTTCCCTCTGATACTGCTGTCCTTTGCAACCTGTCCTTTTAAGTCTGTTTGCTTCCCAAAGCCACATGCTTCCACTCTTCTCTGGCACATATTTAAACACAGGTACCAGAAATCCTTCAAAGGTTAATACAACTGCTGGAATCCTGTAAACCCCTTCCTGTAAGAGGTTATCAGGTACTCAGAATTCCCTTAGTGCTTGGCAGGGATCCAGAACTGGCATTCCCATGCCTTTTTACAGTATAGACAGTATAGTTGTCAGAAGAAACACAGGAACCCTTGCAGGTGTGCAGCCAGCTTTGCCTGGGCATAGTTTGGCTTTATCCTTCCTCAAACTGATCAGTGCTGCTGGATTTCAACTCTTGTGAGGAAATGCCTAATGGAGGATGGAAATCAGTTCCTGGGCTCAGTTGCCTTCATTGCAGCTATTTGTCTGAGCAGTGTGTTTGTGCTGAAGTGGTGGGGCCTGTAATCCTGCCAACACTGCCCTGGGACACTGACTTAGCCTTGGTGCCAGAATCTTTGAAATGCCAATGGATTTACTGCTGTGATATCTGTGAGCAGATCCCTTGCTGTATTGTATTGCTGTGAGTGGCAAAGGTGTTGAAAGAAGTAGCTCTTGGATTTTTAACAACTTCTGTAATATTTCTGTGCAGGTCATTTGAACCAATCCTTCGACTTCTTCCACAAGGGATCTCCCCAGTCAGCCAGCACTGGGCCACCTGGGCACTCTATAACCTGGTGTCTGTCTACCGTAAGTTCTCTTTTTGAAATCATATTCCCTGCACTGCAGAAGTTGAGGGCATGAACCTGGGGCTGTCAGCAGAAAAAGTCTTGCAAGATAAACTACGTAGGTAGAGAAAACCTTTGAATGATGCAGGAATGTCCAGGCAGCACAGCCAAATAAAGCTAATTAGACTTGGTGTGTAGGAAATTCCATCACTGTTTTGATCCTCCTCCTCCTTCCCCTCCTGCCACCCAGTGTACAACACTGGTGTGAGGGTTCACAAGGACCTGATTTATTCTTTTTTCTGCAGCTGACAAGTACTGCCCACTGCTGATCAAAGAAGGTGGGATTCCTCTCCTGAAGGACATGATTAAAATGGCCTCAGCACGACAAGAGACCAAGGAAATGGCCCGGTAGGACACCAGTGCACCATCACAAACTCTCAGTTTAGCCTGAGTTTAGTTTTTAATTCTTCCACGTAAAGTGAGGCTACCAAAGCAAGGCCTGTAGTGATGTGTACAAGAGATATGAATTGAATACAGGAGAAGCAGAGGAAAAAGAGGATGAAAACAGAATACTAGAGATGTTCATAGGTGGGCAGTACACACAGATCATTACCAGGCAGCTGGGCTGTAGATTGGCTTTTTGAGCAAGGGAGACACATGGCTAATTGCAGTTCTTAGGCCAGCAGTCTCCAGTTATCTGTACTTTTCCCTGTACTTGGGTGGGCTGCCTGTCCTCAGAATCATACTGCCCTGTCACTGAACTGCCAACTGCACAGTTACAATGAGAGCATTTTTCAGAAGGTAGAGTCCACCTTGCAGTGACACTTTTCTTTGGAGTCATCCTTTAAGAGCTGTAAAAGCCAGCTGCAGTTTCTGATCACTGGCAAAGTGAGAGCTCTTAATTTCATACCTGCAGGATGAATGGAAGAGAGAGGTAGAGATCTGGGCATACCTGGTGAGTGGGCAGCAGGCATTCCCACAGCTGAGGGTTGCTAAATTCTGTAAGGGATTGGAGCCTGCAGAAGACAGTCACAGTTACACACAGTGTGTGGGATGGGACAGGTGACAGCACAGTGAAGGACAAACATTTGCATTAATGTATTTCCTGGTGGGATTTAAAAGCATCTGAGGTTTTGGGTGCGGGGGTAATGAATGAATGGTCACAACTGGATCTGGATATGCACTACCATAACTTGACATTCCAAGCTGGGAGCTGCTTTTGTGGAGTTTACTGGTTTTGACACAATTTGTGTCTCAGATACAAACAAGATAGGGTTACACAGAAATCACCTCTGGGACAGTTCTTACCTTACTGTCCCACAGCTGAGGTGCAATAAGCTTTAAACTAAACCCTCTCTCCTTGTCCTTGTTTTATCCATAGGAAAGTTATAGAGCACTGCAGTAACTTTAAGGAGGAGAACATGGACACTTCCAGATAGAGGCAATCACGCAATGCCTCTTGCCAGCACTGTACCCAGCTTCTCTCTAACTCACTGTACATAGGGAGGACTCTTTCTTACCAACTCGCCCGTTGGAAGGAAACTTTATGTGTGTGTGTGAGACCCTCAGTAGATGAAGGTGAATAGGGGAGGGGGGAGGGACTTTTTGCACAACAAAATGCTTTCCTTAACTTAGTGGACTTTTTTGTTATGAAGTTTCAGGTTGAAGTTCTGTGTGTATGATTTCTGTATAAAAAGAAAACAAAAAACAAAGACAATTACATTATGTATCTTTTAACCTTTTATTTTAGACCACACAGAGAGCCTCAAATGACCATGAGCTTGAAGACCTAGTTGTGTGATCACTAGTGTGACATTTATTTCCCACTTTTTAGAAAATTCCCTTTTGCTGTACTGCATGAGGTCCTGTAATGTCTGCAAGAACACCAGTCCTGAATCAGCATTGGCTGCTCAGTGGGACTACAGGCAGTGATGAGTTATTCTTTTGGTTAGAGAGGCTGGGGGACAATACCAGAGAGATAGACAAAAGGAACTGACGTTGTTTCAGTGATTAAAAATGGAGAAACAAGAGAAGACCTTTCAAGCTAATTCACTCCCTTAAGGGCTTTTTAATAGAAGACTCACATTAATGGAAACATTGCTAATTCTATGTGGGTCATTTGGAAGTAAGACTTTCCCAATAAAGTCAAGAGGTCTGTTTTGTCCCCATTGGCAGTACATAGGATCTGCCAGCCCACCCAGCCTCAGAAGGTCAGGGATGACAGTAGAACCAGTTATATGTTCTTGTCTACACAGAGCTTCTCTCTCAAAGGGAACCTGTGCAACAAGGCACGAGGTTTGTTCACAAAGGGCTACGCATCTTCATTCCAGTCCTTCACCGCCTTTTTTAGCAGTGTTCTGTTTTGTAGGGAAGGGCTACAAAGCCAGAGTATTTCCCTCTGCATACTATACTCTGCTAGGCCCTAGTCCCGAGCAGCTGTACCCCCTTGTGCAAGTCCCAGGAAGGGACTGGAGCTGTTCTGCCCATCCTCAGTCTGTGTCATCACAAGCTGTGCTCAGTAGCATCATAATCTCCCTTCACAGGAAGCTCACTGCAGCACAGCTGCTGGAATTGGAGGTGGGAAGTCTCCAGGCACCCTCTGAAGGGCAGTCCCAGGAAATAGCACCTTTTGTTCCACCCCAATATTTTCCCCCTGTTCTCAGAAGCAGAAGGCCCTATTCCCATCTGACTCCCAGAAGCACTTACCAGTGCAGTCCCAGTCCCATCAGCAGCATTATTGCAGTCTGTGTGACACAGGTGAGAGGAGAGTCCCACTGAGCTGGTCTTCACCTGTGACACTCCAGACCAGCTCAAGAAGCTGAAGGTCACGGTTTGCCTCACAGCCAGGCACTCAAGAGCAACAGTTGTCTATGCCATAGCCCACTGCTCATCACAGTTCTTTGACAAATCTTCCCTTAGAAGGGACTTAGAAAAGAGTAGAAGGAAGATGAGCCCATGGCCATGCAGGCTGGGACATTTCAGGCCTCAGAGCACAGTAACTCGCTGCTCTCTTCCCTTGTACACTTTGCTCTCGGATTTGAGTCGCTGCTATGAGGTTCTGCTAATGCTCAGAGTTCATGTTGTCCTTGTGAGCACGTTAGAGATGGATCCTTGATCCACAAACTGACACTTTAACTGACAGAACACAACTGCCTGGAGAGGTTTACTTTTACTGCCAATACGGTGTTATTCAATGTCTTTTCTTTTTTTCTTTTTAACCATACGTCAATTTGTTTTGGTATTGTGAGATCTGTACTTTTTTCTTTTAAGTATTTTTCAAACTTATATATATTTTTGTGTCACTTTTAAATTGTTTTCATAAGATTGCAAAACTTGACAAATTATACTTTTTTGCAGTCATTTGAAATGTATTTTTCTCTTATTCCTGTTTCCCAAGAATTTGTGTTCCTATGAACTTATTTCAAGATCTGTTTTCTGTGTAACATTTGCTAATCTTCCTTCTAGATGCAAAACTAAGAGGGGCTGTAAATACAGCCTTGGTTGTTAGGGGAGTGAGGCTTTGCTCTTTAACTCCCCATTTAGTGCTGCTGTCCTTGGGAAGTTGTTTCACATGGCAGTACCACTCACCACATCTGCTTCCTTTCCAATGCCCATGTAGTGAAAGCTTCTGTCACTAAAATCTTGACCCAAGTGACAAAAAGCACTCAAGATTCTGACCCTGTTGGCAAGGTGGGAGTAGAGCAGAAGGGGACAGATGACACATGTGAGGTCTCAGAAAGCCTTGTCCCCAGAAATCAGCTGCCATGCTGGGGAGACAGTGGAGCTGGGGAACTCCCATCTCAGCTGGAGCAGATCCCAGCCTCTCACTGTAATCCAAGCCAAGCAGTTGGGCTCTAGTCTGAGACTTTGGCACAACTACATCATGGCTAATAACAACCAATGGCTTGGTTTTATCTGCCTCGAGACCCCAAAAGTTTGGGTTTTCCAAACCAGTGCTTCCACAAGTTGAGCAGTTTCTGGAGTCTCACCTGCTGCATCCCAAACTAACAAGATCCACACTGCATCAAAGCTGTTTCACACTGCAGAGGTAACCTCTGTTCTCACTGCTCACAGACCCTCAGCAAGCTGTACCTCAGCCCAAACCAGGATAAAAATATTTCAATTTCCCAGCAATAAGGAGATGAATGGAACCAGGCCAGGCTGACAGAAAAGCTCAGCTTGCTGAAATCTGTCACCATTCCCAGGTGAAAGAGGGAACTCTTAACTGGGCAATTGCAGAAAGCCTCACATAAGATTTTGAGTCAGGCCACCAGCAAGGTAAATGCCTAAGGCAGAACATTAAAAGGAATAACACCCCTGTTAGAGTAACGTCAGCTTTGCCTACAAGCTTCAGTCTCTTCAAGATTTTGTGAGCTGAAAAGTAACATTTTCCCCTCAGTAAGGATCAAAGAGTAAAAAGTATCCTTTGAGCACCAGAGCACAATCCAACAGTTCCTGTAACTGAAAGTCTGAAACCAGTCTGAGCCTCAGTTTCCCTAACTGAAACAACAGGCATAATGCATGACCTGAAAACGTTTTTTGGTGGCAAGGACTTAACTGGTGCCATAGATCCAGAGCTGAGGAGAGTTGCCTGCAAACATCACATCAATATTCTGCAAAGGAAGGGAGGGCAAAGTGGCAGATTTTTAATGAAGGTTTAATGCAAAAAGGGAAGTTGGATACCCTGAAATGCTTGACTGCTCCAAGGATGCCTCTCAAGCCTTCCAGCTTTGCTGGATCAAAGGAACAAGCCAGGAAACTTCAGCTCCACATAAAATTATACAGCCAGTGACCAACTCTGCTCAGAAAACCAGAATGGGGTTCTATTTTTCAAATGAAAATCCAGCTGTAGAGAAGTTAATAGCATGTAAGGATATTGCAGAGGGGCTCCTTGTGCTCTGTAGCTGTTGGCCCACTCAGACTCTTCATGTTTTCACTACTACATTTCCTTTAATATTGCAAAGCTTGGCAAGCAGAGCACAAACACGACTCAGTAGCTCCCTGCAGAGACTGTGCCAACAAAGGAACCCTCCACCTGAGCTGTGTGTGGTTTCCTTCCTGGCTGGAGGCTGCCCTGTCCTCCAGTGGCCCAGCAGTGCCAGGTGTCCATGTTCTCTGGAGCAGATAAGAGCAAATTGGTGAGCAACTTCCCACCAGTGCTTCCATTTTACAAAATCTGTGGGAGGAATTGCTCATAAGGATTGGCATCTACTTGGATGATGTTTAACACCCAGAAGCATCAGACTTTCTCATCTAGACCAAGCCAAGAAAGTTTTGCACTGATATTTGTGGCAATCAGCACACTGCAGATAATTCATCTGCACCATGGCTGCTGTTTCCCTGCACCTTCCTACTGAAATTATCCTCTTCAGCACTGAATCCTACCCAGCTTGGCTAGGCTTCTGCTGCTGTCACTCTGGTCTCTGCAAAAGATGAGTGGGAAGAAAAGTCTTGGAGCTGTGAGTCAATTCCCTCTCATTACCTGAAGAAGGCAATTAATTACCAGTAGGGCAAGAGCTAGAGGGCACTGCAGTCAGGCACTACCATAGAAAAGACATTTCCTTGAGACTGTTTAGGGAGGAGTGTGCCACAGCTCAGGTGTTAGAGGACAGCTTGTGCTGGAAAAAGAGAATTAAAAGTAGGGAAACAGCTGGTCTCCAGGACAACCATGTATGTGGATGAAGCACAGAGGGCAATAGTCATCAGGAATAGATGAAAAGCAACATGGGGGCTGAAGGAGAAGAGAGCACTTAAGGAATGAGGGAGATACTCTGCTGAACTGAAACACTTCTGCTTTAGCAGACTCTTTTGATTTCATGTAATTGTCACTGATCCTCTCTGTAACTCTTTTCTTGTTTAAAAAAAAAAAAGTTTTTAAGCTAATTAAATATGTATTTCCTTGTTTTGCAATGAAAATACCCTCAGTTATAATGAGCAAGTGTCTCCTTTTACTCTGTCCATGGACCTGCCTGATGCTGAGGCCTGGTTCAAATGTTTGTACCTGGTGAAACTGAGCAAAAAAATCAAAATGCACAACTGTTGCTTCCTTACAATTCTGAATGAATTAACTTTTCTGTTGTATCCATTGGATACCCACTGTGTATTAAACCTAGTGCTCAAGAGTGTCTTCTTCCTTTGTTCTATGAATGTGGTTTATTTAGGTACATTACTGGTCCATTGGCTGTCATATATTTAATTAAAAATGAAAGGAACTGCCATGTGTTGATGATGCTGTTCAGTGCCTTTGCCTTTCATCACTCCAAAAGACACAATACTGCTTGTCAGCAGAAGAAAGCAGTGGAGGACGAGAGCATTGTTAGGAAATTGTGTGAGAGGAGAAAAAAATCTGACAATGATGAGTGTCCAGATTGCTCTGAACTCTAATGTATCTGCAGTTCACACTCCACAGCCTGGGCTTTGTAAGGGGCAGGATCTGAGCACTTAAGAAAAGCCAATCTGCTTTAAGGCCAGCCTGACTTTCTTCTCAAGACCCTGGTCCTGTGAGGGCTCAGTGCCAGCTAATTCAGTGGTCACTGTGGAGCCTGTAAAGGAGCAAGGAGAACAGGATGGCAGGAGCATTTGTATGAAACTGAGCTGCCTCTGAAAACATGCGGTGCTGTAAGAGTCCAGAGAGATTCTGAGCTGGGATGCCATAGGAACCAAGATTCTCCTCAGAAACTTACTAGTAGAGACTTTTGTAACTGAGCCTAATTTCAACCAGTCACTGAGGCTGAAACTCTTGAGACAAGAGATGAGCCCTGATCTCTGCAAGACAGCTTTCAAAGCTAAAGGAGAAGATAAAAAGAATAACATGCACCAAATTATTTCAATTGCAAAGAGAGTGAGAATATATTCATTAGGACAGATTATTCTAGAACATCAAAATGTTTCTAGTTTCAAGTGGATAATATTATTACTATTCAAATTGCTTTAATTAAGCTTTAAGATTTACACCTCTCTGTGAAGAAGGAAAGACACTACCCACCTTTTTCTGAGCACCCGTACAGCCTGAGGTGTCTGAGGCAAAAGAGCCGTAGGCTTTGCCTTTACCTAGAATTAAAAAAAAAAAAAAAAGTTTGAATGATTGCTGGAAATTCAGTTGACAATTTTTGTTAACATTTCAACCCAGCTGTCTCGGGTAAACCATTCAAGTGACCCACACAACCAGGTGCTTTCCTGGCATCAGCACGTGGCCACTGACTCATAGGAAGAGGCTAAAATAATCAATTTGTGGGCAAACAATACCAAGGAATCCACTGCCAGGTGCTGGAGGGTAAATTTATAAAGAATATTATATTTCTTTCCAAATTTTTATTGGGCAAGGTAACAAAAGCAGCAAGGTAGAGCTGTGTTAAAACTGAAAGGAGTTAAAGAGAAAGCACTGATTTTGGAACTTTTACAGATACTCATCCGTAAAAGTTCATCTCCCTTAGACACTCAAAGTGCTATATATTTGCTATAGTCACCTTGGTGGGTTTTTTTTATTGTTAACAAGAGACAAAAACCGAAGGTGCAATTCAAGGTGCATCTCAGGTGCACTTCAATTGCTTTTAGGTGTCTGTTCCAGCCGAGAAGAGTCGGTACACACCTGCTTCCCTCGGGGGAGTTCAGTGACCTCACCCAGCCAGGAGCCCTTGACTGCAGCCATCTCACCCAGACCAAATCCCTCCTCATGTCCGACGTTCTCCAGGCTCTGCTTGGTTAATGGGGCCGAGTAGCTGCTTCCAGCCAGGCACAGCCTCTGTGTGCTTCTTCCCGGGGCTGGAAACCAACACATGAATAACCACGTTAGCGAGAGCAGGATTAACGCAGAGCAGTACCTTGGGAGCCTCTGAACGGCACCTGCTGCCCGACCCTTCCACAGCTCTGCGCACCCAGCAGCGTCTGCCCCGGTGGAACGGCGGTTCTGAGCAGTTTGCCCAGCCCTGCGCTCCGGTGCCCGGGGTGAGGGCGGGAGGACACGCGGGAAGGGCTCAGGAAAACACGCTCCTCGAGGAAAGGCCCCGCAGGGCCGGCTCGACGGGCACAACAACCCCGGGGCGGTGTGGGGGACAAAAGGAGCCCGGTGACCGCGGCTCACGGTGTTCGCCGAGTCCGATACAGCAGAACCCCGGCCCTGCTCCGGGAGCGGAACCCGTCCGACAGCCCAGCGGAGCCTCCCCCGCAGGGCTGGCCCGCCCTGGCCCCGCCTCGGGGCGCTGCCCGTGTCCCGTCCGGCCCTGCCAGCGCTGCCCGCAGGCCTTCCGGGCCGGCGGAGCCCGGAGCCGGTGAAGCCGGGCGGCCATGGGCCCCGGCGGGCGCTGGGTGCGGGCGGCACACACGGCCCTCAGCGCGGCCCTGCTGCTCGGGCTCCTCCTGCACCGCACGGGTGAGGCGGGGCCCGGCCGGGCCGCGGGCAGGGGGGCCGGGCCGGGCCGGGGCCGCTCCGCCCCCGGCGGGCCCTGCGGGACACGGGCTATCCGCACCCGGGGGTGCCCCGAGGGCGGGGGTCTGGGGAGCCCCTTCTCAGCCTCTCCTCTCTCCGCCGGGTCTCTCTCCATTTCCTCTTCACAGATTCGGGACCCCTTTGTTGAGGCCAGAGAGAAAAATCCAGGACGCTTCACAGAGCTGCTGCTCTCTGTCTTTCATGGGTACCTTTCAGATCTGCAAAAGCAAGAGGAGCGCGGGGAGCTGCTTCAGCCGCTGATCTTCGTTTTGCTGGTTTTGTGCTCAGTCCTGCTGTACTTCAAGGTGTCTCTCATGGATCCGGGTTTTGTTAAACCTGAAGAGGAAGTGAAGGTAGATCCCTTCATGAATAGAACAAAGTGGAGCAGCTGTAAAGTCTATAGGCTTTTCTACTTTTTCCACTCTGGTAGATAAGAACAATCTGAAACAGTTTCTGTTGTGCTGGTGAAGGACACATGCACAGACCATTGGAGATGGGAACAGACTGTCCCACACTGGTATTTTGTAACAGCAATAGGGTTTACAGGCTTTAAATGTGCCTTCCACACTTCCCTTGTACATAACTGTGCCATTTGAGCTCAAGTCCTCTCCTAGAGCAGAGACTGCAGTGCCATGTGGAATGTGTATATGACCTATTTTACAGTAACCAGTGCTAAGTGGTACAAGTGCAAAAAAAGCCCGGAACTGAAGGGCAGGCTTGGCAGACAGTGCTCTCTGCAGCTCTATTTATTGAACTCTTTATGGATTTGTTGCCCTCTCAGAGGACACATCCACAAACAAGTTACAGTGAAATAAATGGAGATGCAAAGTTTCAGTAACTGCTAGTCTGCTCAAGGTTCACTGCCTTATAGACTGTAGGACAAAAGCATTATCAATCTTAGTCATCCATCATTAATGTCAGTGTTGGCTGTGTATGACTAATTAGCACTGCTCGTACCAAAAAGACATTGTTATTGTGTTTAGAAGTGAAATCTAACCTTGTTTTTGTCCCAGACTATATCTTGTCCAGTTATTTCTGCCTCTTTGCAAACATTCTTTGGAGGGTTACAGTAACCTGTTCTCTCTCACTGTACCACAATTGTCTGCAGTTTCTGTAGGAATTCTAATTAATTATTTTGTTCCGAATGATAGAGATAACAAACACTGTGTAACTGTTAAGTAAAAGTATGCAGCAAGACAGCTCAGTCATGCCTAGACAGGAGCTCAAGAACCCTCCTCAGTCCCTTCCTTTCTCTTTTTTGTAGGAAGGTGAAGATAAAGGACAAGGTGTGGTGACCCCTCAGATTGCAGGTGACATTAAGCTGCGGCGCTGTGGTTACTGCCTGGTGAAGGTGGGCATCCAGAACATGCTGGAAGAGGAAGGGATGAGTGATTTGAAAGCTTACATTGTTCTTCAGCTGCTGTCGGTGGTCTGTAATTGCTGCTTAGAGGAGGGTGAGCAGAGGCTACACAGGTAGTAGTGATGGACACTGGCACACAGGCCACTTTTCCAAGGCTGAAACAAGTCTCTGCTGGCTTATACAAACAAGAATCTTTTTTTGCCATGAGAAAATTGTATTCCACACTCTTACTACCATGTCAGCCAGACTTTGCAGTACTGTCAAATAAGTTATTTTGAAAATACCTTGATAGCCAGAAAGGCAGCTGAGTGTAACATGTGGGAACTGCTCATTGTTGTGAACTTGTTCAGGGCCTTAAAACAGCAAAACATTGGCCTGAATGGTAAATGACAGCATGAAGGAGAAACTACAACAATGAAATTAGCTCTTAAAACAGTTTGCCTAAGCCTAGAAAGGGTTGTTTTCAGAGTGATCCTTATTAGTTTAATGAAATTAAGCATTACCCCAGCTCCCATAAATTCCCGAAGAGTATCAGTCAGGAAGAATGAGCTTATTGCAAGAAGAAAAGCTGGCAAAGCATTTATACACTGCAGGGGACAAATCCTAGGAAGCACTACTTTTCTCAGCCAGGTCTTTTACCTTCTCTGTGCCTGGTAATTGAGCTGTTTTCTGTGCAAGTGTCTTGTACTCACATGGAGGCACTTCTCTGTACATCCCAAAAAGCATCACATCCCTGCCCACTCTATTTGATAGTAGTGGTTCCAGTTTTTCACCTCAATACTCTGGCTTTCCTGACTACACTGATTGGCTTTGTCTCCCTCCTTGGCACGCTGGACTTCCTATGATAGGTAGATAATAAAGAAAATGTGTAGATAGGAGGAGTGTGGGAGGATCACTTAACTTGAATCCCACCCATTTGCGTCTTGACCAGAAGAATTACAGTCCCTTTGATTTGTCTTAGCAATGCTGATGTGCTGTTGTCTCACAAGCGTTTTAGGGACAGTATTGTGGGGAAAGAGATTTGCATGATGTTCTCTTCTACCAAATGGGAGTGGGACAGCCATGAACTATAGCCAGTGAGTTTTTTTCTTTTCCTGATTGTGTTTTGCAGCAACCCATGCGAGCCAAGCACTGCCAGCTGTGCCAGCACTGCGTGCGGCGCTACGACCATCACTGCCCCTGGCTTGAGAACTGTGTAGGAGAAAGGAATCACCCCCTCTTCATAGTCTACCTGAGTGTGCAGCTTGTGGTTCTGCTGTGGGGAGGCCGTGTTGCTTGGTAAGGCTGGGAGATGGCTTTTGGACCTCTGAGATTGCTGAAAGTTGTCATGCTCCTTGGGCTGGCTGAGAACATAGACTGGCTCTGGATCGTCACCCTCTTTTTCATCCTGGAGCTCCCTAATCTTGAGCAGTCTGGTAATTTAGGTTTCATTGTTCATTTTGCTTCAGTCCCTGTAACACGATCTTTGTTTACACATTCAAGTGCTGGAAACTCCAACAGGGTTCCAGCTGTTCAGGAGAGGAGTTAACCCAGGGTGATTGTGTCTCACAGCTGTCAGGGAAACAGTATCTTCTAAATTTAGCTTCCAATTCCTGTGGTGCAGTCTCTCAGGACTTCATAGTATATTAACTCTCTGTAGTCAAGGATTATTAGCAGCTCATTAGTTATGAATCAAACTTAAATGTGTCATCAGGTTTGCTTAGTTTATGAAACTAGTTCTGCTTCTCTAACTACGGATTTATTTCTGTTTGAATTGAAAGGTCAGGCCTCTACTTTGAACAATCCCGGGAGTGGCTGCAGCACAACATTTTCCTCCTTGTGTCCTTCCTCCTGATATTCATATTCACCATTGTGGTCCTGCTGCTGCTTGTTTCCCACCTGTACCTGATCTCATGCAACACCACGACCTGGGAGTTCATGTCTCACCACCGCATCTCCTACCTGCGGCACTCCGAGCTGGAGAACCCCTTTGACCAAGGGATAATCCTCAACCTCTGGAGATTCTTCTGTTCACGCCACCTCACTGCATGGGAGAACATCTATTTTCACAGGAACACTGAGCCTGTCTAGTCCCAGTATGCCAACACAGCTGGCAGGCTGCTGGGTAAAACTTTGCTAATGCAATGGTTGCTGTTTCCTTGCACTGAACTTTAACACATCATGGACTGTGCAACCTGCTCCACAAGCTGTTCATCTGCAAATTACATTTCAGGGATAGTCAGGGTTATTTTTTATATATAAACAGCACTGTTAAAGGCAAGAATACAGTTCTGGGAAGGGCAAAGCCAGCAGAGCTGATTTCCGGGCTGAGCACGGTGTCTCTCTAAATTTATTTCCTTTTGTTAAATGCATCCACATCTCTCCAGAAGAAATGCAAGATTAGTGCGACTATTCGTGTTCACTTCTCTCCTCCCAGGTCTCCTTCACTTTTTGCTGCTAGGGAACAGCAGCAATTACACATAAAACCAGCCAGGATCAGTGTAATTCCTGTGGCCTTTTTTCAGCCAAGTTCTGACTGTGAGAACTGCAGTGCCTTTTGGCAGTAGCATCAGGCATGTACGAGAAATATTTGAGTAAATATTTAGAGAGTCAAAAGCAGATTTTATTTTGTCCACATGCCTCAACTTAATGCTTTCCATGAAGACTTAAGGCGTAATACTGTTAATGTGCATAAGAAAGAGCTGTTAGACATCCATTGAATCTTATGAGATAATTAATCTGTATTTTGTGATGCCCTGAGCAGCTTCCTCACAGCTTTTTAAGTTGATGATACTGCTAACAATTCACTGTTTTGAATCAAGTCAGTGAAGAATGATACCATCACTTTTCTTTGGACAGAAAAGTAATCCTTGGCTACTGAGTTATTTCTGCAGATAACATTGTGCTCAGGCCTTTGCTGTAGCTTGGGAGAGAAGCAGGAGCAGAGG